TAAAGTCACCAAGGACAATAATGTGTAGTTGTTGCTGTAGGGCTTGTTGTATCCATGTAATAATGGTTGATTGTATTTGCTGTCATATTAGGTTGTTGGTAAATGAGAGGTAAGTTGAGATGATTCTGAACTTGTAGTCATATTTGAAGAACAGATCTATTACAATAGCTCCTCCTAGGTGATTAAGTATATTATAAATATGTAGTTGCAAATTATTATAAATTAGAATGCATGTACCTTCTTTGGATGTAGAGCTGTTTGACCAATAATAAGTAAAATGTTGGTTGTTGTAGAATTTTTTGTTTTTAGTTTCTACTATTTTGGTTTCAGTTAGGCACATTATTTGTAAGTTGTTTTGAAGACAATATTCTTTTAATAGAAGTTTTATTTCTATATCATTAAAGCTTTGAATATTGTAGGTAGCAATGTTGAGCTTAAGTGTTTCATGTGTTTAAGACTTAAGAAAGGTGTCAAGGTACTGGTGTAGGAGCTTTTGACTAATAAAAGTGTATTCTGGTAATAAGTACAGTTTGGAGGATAGATAGATATGGGCTTCACTAATATTAGTATTAATAGAAAAGATAGCATAATATGTAAGATTATGTTGTTAAAGGTGTTTAAAGAAGAAACCAATAGTTTGGTCTTATGAAATTAGAGGTAGATTGAAGTATGCAAAAAATTTGTTGTAACAGACTTCAAGGTTGTAGGTATGTAAGAGTTTGTAATTAGTTTTTTTGGGATTTGTATTGTAATTCTTAGAGTTATATAGTAGGATGGTCTTTGAGAATGAGTATTTGTCTTCTACTAAGGTGCTTATCATTTGAAGCTTGGTTTTTACAGCTGTGAAGAGTTCCATAGTCTGCTCTGTATGTTGAGTCTGACCATTATTTGCTTGATTCTCTATGTAAATAGGCTTTCTCACCTGCTTACTTACATCATCTTCCTTATCAAATACTATGGTAGTTTCTTTTGATAAGGTGGCAGCTGCATTTATAGGTTGTGTAGAAGACAATTTTATTGAAAAGGAGTTTGAGTCTGTTCCTCTTCTTTTAGAAAGAAAGATTCTTCTATAGTAGTAGGAATTTTGAATTTAATATTAAATTTATTGTATAAAATAGTTTTATCTTCAGAAAGAGCTTTTTTTTTGTAGAATTTAATGATCTTTAAATAGTTTGGTGAGTTATCATGTGTGCAGTCAAAGTAAGTGATTACTCATGCAAGAAAGTTAGTATCAATAAGCTTAGTTGTAATAAAATCAATTGCTTGTTGTTTGTCTATTTTATCTATATTGTGGTTTTGAACAGCAGTGTTTTGGTAAATTGATAGATATTGGTAGAAGTAGAAGCCACGTCATTTGGAATTAGTTTTGACAACATTGGCAGAGCAAGTATATTCTTCTGCTTTTGCTACTAATTCATCAAATATGGTAGTAGAAATTTGTTTTTGGAATGTAGCTTTATATTTGCCTTTGGTATAAAAACAGATAAGTCAAGATAGGGTTTATTCTATAATTCATTATCTTTTTTGGAGTATTTTTGGTAAGAGTCATCAAAAGTATATTTGGTAAGTGCAAATGTATTATATTGTAAATATAATTCAGTATTAGGTTTTGAGTTTGTGGATGTTTCTTTTTCCTTTTCTTTTGGTGTTTTAGTAGTTAAGAGATAAAGGCATTTAGAATCTATGCAAGTAAGTATATAGTAGTTAACTTGTTTAAAGGTTTCATGTCATCTTTCTTGTAGATTATGTAGTTCTGCAAATTCATGAGTACTAGGCAGAAGTTCTTTAAGATAAGAGATAAAATGTTGTCTGAATTGGTATTTAAGATAATTTGATATTTTGGTTTTGTTAATAGTGTTTGAGAATTGTTTACTGTATAGTGGAAAGGCTTTTTTGAACCATTTATTGAAATGAAAAAATGAGTTTTTTAAAGAAGAAATATTGTATTTGTCCATAAATAAGGTCTTAAAAATATTAAATTCTAGTTGAATATTAAATTAAATATCTATATTGATAGAGAGGTATTTTTCATTTTTGTTATATTCAGTAACTTTTGATGATATTTTAAATCTTTTTGGTCTAAGTTTAATGTCTTCTCCAAATTTTGTATAATTAATGACTTGATAATTATTAGATAAGTATAGATAAAGGTGAGCTAGATTGATGCAAAATTATAAATGATTTTTAGTTTTAAGAGGTGGGATGGTGGCAGGTAAAGCAAAAATTTCTGAATAGTTAAGTTTGGTAAAAAGTATAGTAGTGAATGTGAGAATGAGTTTTTTGAGAGTTTCTTCAAGAATGTTAAAAGGTATTGTAGCAGATTGGTCAGTTGTAGAATTATGCTGTTGGATTAAGTCTGTTAAAAATTTGGATTTAGTACTAGTCATTTGTCAAATAAGTAGATAAAAGCTAGATTTGAGTGCAGGGTGGTTTTCTGTTGTTTCTTTAATAACCTTTCCTAGAAAAAAATTATATAGATGTTTTTTAAGAAAGTTAAATAGTTTTTGTGAAATATCTGTTTAAAGTTTAGTGTTGTCTTTCATTTCTTCAGTGACTGGAAAGTTTGTTAACCAATCGAATGATAGATTAAGCTTGGGTCTAGCAGCTTGGCTATAAGGTTGTTTTAATTGTTTATGTAATTTTTTTTGTTGTTGTTGTTTAGATTGCTTAGATGTTTCTTGTTGTTATTGTTGTTGTTTAAATTGCTTAGATGTTTTTTGTTGTTGTTGTTGTTTTTCTTATTGTTGTTGCTGTTAGTTATTATCAGATAGGTTAGAGTTATCGATATTCATGGCAGTAGTATCAGTTGTTGTATCGTTTACTGTTTCTTCTATAATAGGAGTAAGAAGGTTAAGTTCAGAGATGAGTGGATTGTTAGTACAAAATATATTAAGTGATTGTTAGAATTTATGAAATGAAGGTGTTTGAGAAGATTCTTATTCTGGATTGATAATAGGTTGTTTGCTGTCTTTAGACCCAGTTTCAGTTTTGAGACAAGATTTGTAACAGGGTTTGTCATTAGAGAGTTTAGCATCAGCACTAAATAATGTCTATTATTAATGACTTTATAATTGATAGGTTGATTGCATTTAGAATAAGTATGTTGGTGTAAAGATGGTGAAGGTAATGAAGTAGAAGATGGTAAGATGACATTTGTAGAGTTGATAGTATTTGTTGCAAATAGTTTTTTATCTTTTGGTTTTTTAATGATATTGGTATTTGGATATTGTTCGTAGATAAGATTTTTGTTTGAGTAAAAGTTTGTATGATATTTACTATATAGGCAGATGGCTGTAGCATTAGTAACAAGTACTTGAATATAATGACAGGTTTTGATACTGCCTCTAAGTTCTGTGGTAATGCAATTGTTAGGTCATTTATTTGCAAGTGTTGGACATAATATTTTTGACATATCTTCATAGATTCTAATACTAAAACTTTTTGGGAATTTTTTATAAAAGTAGTCCAAGTCAATAGAATCAGATTCTAAGCTTACTAAGGTTGGCATTTTGAATAAAATTACTTAGAAGACTGGACTTGTTTTGCTTAATAAGATTTAAAGATATGAGACTTTAAAGTAAAATAATAATTATAGACTTTATTATAGGATAAGGTTTAAGTTTACAAGGGTCTTACTGTGGCTTACTGCGGTTCCATGTAACTTTGTGTAATCTAAGTAACATAATTTTGGTTAGTGTGGCTAGTGTGGCTGGTGTGGCTAGTATAATACAAAGTTATAATTAGTTACATATTACAATAGCTATTGTGTACTAGAGTACAGAATTTATTTTTAGTAAATTAATACAAATTAATTTATGATAAAGAAAATTCTTTTTGGTTAAATTTAATTTACACAATGTAATATTAAATGAAACCAATTTTGGAAATGATTTAAGGTTACATGAAAAATGTGTAAGGGAAAAAATTTAGAAGTAAGGATAAAGTAATTTTTTAGAGAACAATAGAAAAGTTAAAGTTATTTTTTGTTATAATTTCATCAGTTTTGAAGCTACAAGCTTCTTTTTAGACTTGTTTTGATTGAAAAGAGATGTTTTATAACTTTTAATAGGACAATATTGTAAGAAAAGAGTAACAGATGAGAAATAGTTAAAAGTTTAGTTACAGAGGCCAAAGGCCATTTTAGCAGTATTAAACTACGAGTTTGAAAGTTAAAGACCTATAACTTTCAGAATATATGTAAAATTGTAAGCTAAACAAGTTTAATTAAGAAACCAAAGTTGGTTATCTTAGTAAAATAACCAGGTATTAGCGATTTTGTTACTGTTAAATTTTTTGTTATTTTGTGTAAAAGGATTTATAGAAAGAGTTTTCAAGAATATTTATTGAATTAAGCTTTCTTAGATTGATTACTAATCTGTTTTCATTGTTCTTTTTGGACACTATAAATATTTGTGAAAAAAAACAAAGTATATTGTGTGATTGACTTGTTCTATCATGCCTATATATAAGAGTTTTGAAATTTTTTAACTTATAATTGAAGAGACTTCTGAAGCAGATTGATATTGTGTAGTCTTAGAGGTGGGTTTATTTGCTAAGAAGGTAAAAAACCCTTTCATATTGATTATATGACCTATAAATGACTATTATTTTTTCTCATTCTAAAATATATAAACTCAATCTTCTGCCTACATTGTAAGTAATCAATTTTAAATAGAAGTATAATTGTTTGGATAACCATTTTGTAACTGAACACTCTGTAGCATGTTTCTTTAATTATATCTAGTTTGTGATTTGTTAAAAAACTAGTAATTGCCCCTATGCTTATTGCCTTTTTGGAGATTATTTTAGAAAAAAGTTGGCCTAATATTTCTGTTACTTTCTCTGCCAAAATCTGATCTTTTATAATATCTTTCTGCTTCATTAAGGTATTTGTTAGTAGCATTCTCTTCTTTAATAATATCTTTAAGTTAATTTCTAAATACTTCTTCATTTTTGTTAGATGAAGCATAATTTGAAGAAATAATTTTAAGTAATCATTGTTAATGAATATCATTTGTAAATAACAAAGTATTCAAGACCAATGTTCTAATATCTTTAAAAGAACTTTTGATATACTTCCAAGCTTGAAGAGCTTCTTCATCATAATTATCTGGTTTGGAACTATAGACTGCTCTAAATATATTATCAAAAGGTTATAAGATAGCAGATGTTTTGTATGTCAGTTTTGATAAAATTTTGTCAGATTCATTTGCATGAGATAAAAATAATTTCCAAACCTATTTGTTTATAATAGATGCCTCATATTTAATAAGTTTATTCTTTAGTTGTAACTTGAGAATGTTGGCTCTATAAGCCTTAGATAATGTATGTTCTTTGTAAATTTTTATAGAAAAGTTAAGCATATTACCTGTAGAATATCAAGAGTTTGATTCTGTTTCAAATTCATTGTCCTGCTTAGAAAAACTTTATGCATCATGTAAATTGTTAATTTCAGGTTTATTATTAATATAGGATTCATTGTTACTATTGTAACTATCATAAGACATATTTTAGATAGAAGTTTCTTTAATGTTATTATAAAAGGTCTGTTCTTATAAAGATAACAAGATTATTTTGACATGAACTGCTAGCCAAAATAAAATAGTCTAGAGAAGTTAGAATAGATGTAGACTAGATATATATATACAAAAAAAAATTATAAGTATATAATGTATTATAAAATTGAATCTAGCTAATAATAAAATAGTCATACTATATGTGATATTCTATATCTGAGTAAGTGAAGTGCATTTCTAATAGTATATTTTTTGTTAAAAATATGTTGAAATATAGCATTGATAATACTGATATATATTTTGTGCCATGTTTTTTTTAAACTTTCTGCTATAATTGCTGTAGTTGAAATCTGATGTTATATTATATTAAAATTTATTTGATCTGTAAAAATTGTTCTAATCTTCTTTGAACATAACTTTGTAATTAAATATTTATCATTTGCTTTTACTTTTGTGTCTGACCTTGGTC